CCCCGAGCTCAGATATTCAAACGAGACCAGCTTACGAGGCTTCCCGACACCGGGGTGCATGAGAAGGCTGCCCTCTCACCCCGCAATGGCTGCATTTGCTGTCGGGGTTCCTAGCACCGAGAGAATCCGGGCTGCTGGTCTAAGAATGTCTGCACGTCCAACTTGGTCACTCAGCTTTTTGACCTTCTGAGCTACTCTTGAGCATAAATTTGCTCTTCTCTAGGGATGCCAGATTCAGTAAATAAAAAAATATAGTACTTCCTTACATCTATAGATGAGTTTAATTTCTAGTGTAAGTTTATATCAACTACTGCGAGGGACATACTGGTATTAAATAATTAGTTGTTGTCCATCCGAAAGCTAGTCTTCCCTGGGCATCTCGTAGTTTACCTAGCAACCCGAAAAACACCAAAATTGGGAAATAGTCCTCTCGCTAATTAACTGCAGATGGTTAGAACATGTTTTCTTACACTGTTTACCGACGAACGTTAGTGCTCCCAAAGCTCTCTCAGGCTTTGATTGGACGTGAAGGGAAGCATTTTGAAGTTTGAACATTTCTTATTATCACCCCACAATCACAAGCGTCTACGTTTTCAGCATTGGGACAAGCAGACGACTCCGAAATCCCGCCAGTCCTAAGAGCAAATTGACCGCAGTCCAAGAATTCTGGTATTCACTGCGCTCGCCTGGGACCCCGTGATATCCAGTTTCTGTATCAGAGCCACGTGTCCAAGTCGAGACTGACAGTCAAGCCCAGTTTCAAAACTTGTTGACACTCGTCCCGTCGTGAAATAACTTGGTTCCAAATCCAGTGAAAGTCCCAAGTTCCTTTTTTTTCTGGGATGCGAGTCCAATTACGATAATAAAGAGCATAGGAAACACTAAGGAGAATTCCACCCTCACATCCAGGTGAATCACACCAAAGCCCATTAATCATCGGCCAGTAGAAGCCAACAGTTGCAAATGCATTTTAAACAGAAGAAAAATAGAACGAAGCCAGGAAAGCCAGCCAGCCTGAAGTCGGTATGTACATCCACCGTGCGCTGCTGTCTATATGTCTGTGTCTGCCTTCTCATAAATAACGTAGTGTAAGTGCGAGACAGAAAATGTGCGTGGTGAGAGGTGGTGCCTTTGCTGTCTCCGTGAGGGAGAGGTTTGTTTCGGGGGGAAATCAGTATGAGACGCTGCAAATCATAGAACAATGCCTGGTGCAATGTCAGAGGTCTGTCTCAAGCGACTTTTCAGGGCAGTGATGGGCGGGGGCGGGGGGGGGGAGAAAACAACACACTTGCTGACTTCCCGTTTCTCCCTTCCTTTCTGAACGCGCCAGCTGAGACCGGTTTGAAGTTTCGTGAAGTAGAATCCGCTAAGTAAAACCCTTGTGTGTCTAGGAGGCCGGTCTGCAACCACAGATGCCTCCCCTTCTGCCTTCTCCCAGGTGGCATCCGGCAAAGCCCGACCGCTCTGCGTTTCCTCCTCCTTATCTAAACGGGGCAGCGGGGCCAGCGATTGTCTCCGGGAGGCCGGGGAACTGATCCAGACGAGATCTCAGGAGCTCGTTAGAGAACGCTCCTGGCCAGAGAGAGCGTTGGGGGAAGGGCGCTCGGGAGGCTAACGCAATCCAGTTCGTCTTGTGTTTTTTTTCTCCCCCCTCAGACATAAATTTTCCTGTTTTGCCAGTCATCTCACAACAATGCATGTCCAAGCCACGCTGTGATTAGAGGGGGAACATGCTTATTACCCAGGTCTTCACATGTCGGAGCACGGAGAGGCCAAGGGTGGTAAACCAAAGGAAATTTCCATGTGCTCGTCAGCTGCGACACATTCTTGCTCTATAGGAAAGTTAGCTGTTATTAAGTAATACTGTTCAGCTGAAGTTGGTCACTCGTAACAACAGACAGATGTATAATGTTTTATTTGGGTTCACCAACTCACTCGCAAATAAAGGGCCTGAAATTAAACTGTCCTTACAAAAATATTCAGCAAATGATACCTCTGACTTATTCCTGGGCTCAGATTCTTTGCCATGGAAAATGGAAAATGAGTCTCCCGTGGAACCCAGGATCTGTTTAAACTTGTCTTTGCCGAGTGGAGAAAGGTTGATGTTCTATGGAATGAAAAAAAAAAATAAAAGAGACTGCACTAAGGAGTCAAGGGTATAACTATGCAGACCGCATTTAGCCATGGAAAGGGATTTTTTTTTAGTACTTATGGAATTCAAAACAATAATAACAGAATGGAAACATAGGCAAAAAGGCTAAATATTTGACCGCAGAGGCAAATGGGATCATTAGACGCTCCCAGGCGATGCAAAAATGTGGAGTTTGTTTTAAAAGGAGGGCTTGCTGCTTTTCCAGTGGATAATGGGGCAGAAGAAAGACCTCACTGATCCCCCAGGCCGCCACAGGCCAACTAGCCACAGCAGCCGCTGGGAAGTTGGGGTCTTTGTAAGACACAGGTTCTTGGGCGGCACTAAGAGATTTTATTCAGCAGCTCGAGGGTGGAGCCTGAGAACTGGCATTTCTTTTTTGTTTTAAGATTTTATTTATTTATTTTTAGAGAGGGAAGGGAGGGAGAAAGAGAGAGAGAGAAGCATCAATGTGCAGTTGCTGGGGGTCATGGCCTGCAACCCAGGCATGTGCCCTGACTGGAAATCGAACCTGCGACACTTTGGTTCGCAGCCCGCGCTCAATCCACTGAGCTACGCCAGCCAGGGAGAACTGGCATTTGTAATGAACTCCCAGGGATGCGGATGCTGATGCTGTGCTTCGGGGGGGTGGGGTCCCCCTTGCCTGCGCTGCCCTGTCTTCTATGTCCAGTGAGGGGGGAGCTCATCTCAGGGTGTGCCATGACCACCGAGAGCAGTATCTGCCTGTGACACGGGTTAGCCTTGCCATGGGCTCAATGACCTTGACCGAATCACTCTCTTGGAGCCTCTCTTCCCCCAAATACAAAGTTCCGTTTAGACCAGACGGGTACTCTTCAAAGGTCCGATGAATGCCAGGTACGGCGACGCAGGTGTCTGTGCTGTGGGGCTTCTCAGAGCCTGCGGTGTGCAAACGTGGGGGTGACTCCCTGGTGGGTGCAGGCAGCGGGGTGTTTAGAGGTCTGGTGGGTAAAGCTTCGCACAGTCATCGGACCACACGTCTCTACCTGGGGGCACCTGTGAATGCCACACACCTGGGGGAGGCCGAGCAAGAGGACGGCTGAGGTCCTCCCGGCTTCACTCTCCCTGTCCCGGAACCCGGGCTCCCCATTGGGTCTCCTGTGTTTTCTCGGACGGTGGCGCCCACCGTCGCAGTAGAAACCTTGGAGCCGTCTTCCGCCGACTGCTTCCCTTTTCTCAGAAATCCGAGTTTATTCCCCCAAGCCGGCGCGCCTGACCTTCTGTCCTCTGGGACGCTCCTCCTGGCTACCTGGAAACTCCGCCTGCCGGCCACCGTATTTAACCCCAGGGGCTTCTGTTCCTCCCCCTCCGTTGCCAGGTAACAAGCCTGCACTTTTAGGCAACCCAGTGTGTGTGCTTGTCCGTTTCCCACGCAGCCTCTCTACCTCGTGAAGAGGTGAGGAGTGCGGCTCATACTCTGGAAGGGTCGTCTCCAGACCGGCAGCATCAGCATCCCGTGGCGGCTGAGTAGAAATGCATGTTCCCAGGCTCCCCTCTAGACCGGCTGAACCAGAAACTCCCAGTGGCTCCCGGCTGTGCCCATTTCAAGGCCCCCAGGCGATGCGCGTGCCCCCTGAACTTGGGAGAAGGAGTGGTTCCGAGGTGGAAAGCGAGGACTCTGGACCCTGGGCCGTGTCACGGTTTCCAAACCTGGAGTACGACAGCACTATGTCCACGTGAGAGCTCAGTTACGACACGGCCCCTCTGGAAGGCCCGGCGCAGGACAAGCAAGGCCCCCACCACAGCGACCTCTCCCCAGCGGACGCCAACACGGAATGAGCAGGAGCGCCGCGTGCTGTGTCGCAGAGCACGCGTGCAGCGACGCCCTCCGTGAGTGCGTGTGAGGACAGTGCTTGGACAGCAGCACGGCGGTGGGGACACAGACAGGTCTGATTCGCCAGCACGGTCTCCCGTGACCCCTTACCTTTGTGAACGGGTGTGAATCCCCCAATCGCTCCAAGCACGGTGTTCGCATCGGGGACACCGGGAAAAGACCTTCTTCCCAAGGGGAAGGGAAGGGTTAAAGGGAACACTGTCTGTCACTGCCTTGCGGAGTGTCTGGTGCCTTCCAAGCACCCCCCTCTCAACTGAAAGCTGGCGACGACGTGAGGACCCCGTGAGAATGACCGCCGGCACCGCCCTGCGTGTCTGTCACTGCAGATCATGAGGCCACCGCGCCCTCAGCCGAGGGCTGCTCGCTCCCCGGCACCAGCCTAGTTGAGTCGTGCTGTCCGTACCTTGCCCTGAACAGCTGTCTTCTCCGGATCAAGTTAAGGATTGATTCAGAAGGACTGAATGAGAAACATTATTCAGCTCGTCACGTCTTTTCTATGTTCTCTTTCTCCCTGTTGGAGTCTTGCTAATTTGGGTTTCTTTTCCTATTCCACCCTTAGCCATAGGCCAACATTCAGAGTTTACGTTAAGGGCATGTGAAGGCTTTACATGTTTCCTTTAAATCCAGTAGCTGGTAGGTCAGGTCGTCATCACCCCAAGATACAAAAATGCAGAAAGGGTGTGTCTGCAGACAGGCTTTTACGAGGCTTTGTCTTAGGGGCAAACAATTCCAAGAATTCAATGGCTTGCACCAGCAACAAAAGTTTCTTCTCACCCATGTGCATGTACACTTTGGTTTGGCTGTAGCTCAGCTCCAAGCGGCCCCTCCCCCCACCCCCCAGAAGAAGGAACAGCCCAGCCGAAGCTCACCCAAGACAGCGCCCTGACGCCTCTGTTCAGGTGCGGTGTGAGTCACTTGGGCTCACGCTCCATTGGCCGAGCGGTCACATGACCACATCGGACTCAAAAGGGTGAGGACACCCGCGCCCACAGGAGCAAGCCCAGGGAGGGATTCTGTGGACGGACCCCGCAGAGCCCGGCAGCCGGTAACTGGCAGCAACAAGCCGTCAGCCACGACCCCACAATGATGACAGCTGTACCCACAGGTCCCAGTTCATGTCTTCAAAGCACGGGTCATCGGGACAGAAGGAAGCAGGTCGGGAATGTGCCACTGTCTCAGATGGTGCTTCCTCTCCCACTGGGAGAATGGTGACTGATGGTTCCAGAAGCTGTCCCCTTCCAGCCACCCCCAGCCCTCCGAGGCCCGAGGGAAGAATTACCCCTGCACAAGGAAAGAGTCATTGCCCCGGCAGGTAAGAAGCAAAGGGCCACCTCTGGAATCTGCTGACACTCAGCTTCGGCCACCTCGTTCTGCTTCGGCGAGTGCGCTCGTTCCGGAGGCCGCCTGGGCAAACCGTCCACGTCCTCAGCCGACAGTCAGAGCAGCCGCTGAAGCGCGTCCTGGACTGGTCCGAGGAGCGGGGGAGGGGCAGCGGGCCACCAGCTAGGGTCCCTGGTGCTCGTGCGGCCTAGTCACAGGGTCCGTGGGGAGGCCCGCTAAGCCTCACCGAGTTTATTTCCAGTTACTCTCAGGCCTTCTGAGTTCAGTGAACCTCAAGTGCCTCTTGTCAACCATTTCTTTTTCCACTTAATATTTAAACCTGTGTATCCTTAAAGGGAAGTTTAATCCATGTATTTTAGATTCATAACAAATTTTTTTAATTACCTGAAAATTGTTTTGTTAGGAATATATGGCATCCAAGAAAGCTTTTCAAGCAACTTTTCTCCTTTTTTTAAAGATTTTATTTTTTATTTTATTTTTAGAGAGGGAAGGGAGGGAGATAGAGAGACAGAGAGAAACATCAATGTGTGGTTGCTGGGGGTCATGGCCTGCAACCCAGGCATGTGCCCTGACTGGGAATCGAACCTGTGACATTGGTTCGCAGCCCGCACTCAATCCACTGAGCTACCCCAGCCAGGGCCTCAAGCAACTTTTCTTACAAACAGGAAGCTGTCTCGCTAGAGCTTTGAAGTCAGGCCCTCACACTTTCTAATGTTAGCCCAGAAATCCGAAGTTACGGTTTGGTCCCGATTTCATTCCTCCGTCCCCTCACCACCCGGCCTGAAGTCTCAGAGAAAGACTTTGCTTGAGGTCTGAGAAGCTCCAGGTTTGGGAACCTCCTGCCTCCCCAAGTTTCCATCACAAGTACTTTGTTAGCCCACTATGGCACACAGAATGAAGTTTTTCCCCAAACAGGAAAACTGAAAACTTCCAAAAATTTGACTCAACAGAGCTTTCAATTTTTAGAAAGTATCGGTGGTGTACTAACTGGGAAGAAAGAAATCTTTGCTACTTACAAAGTTCATACTGAGCGTCGGTCCCCCAGGTGGCTGGCGGGCGTCTATGCAGCTGGGACATCCTGAAAACCCATAGGTGGGTGTGTCCCACGCGTGCGTGCCACTGTGTCATTTCAGAATGCTGAGGGGAACGGGGGGTTGGGGAGACGCTGTGGACCCCATCTGACCACCTGTCTGCCACAGCCTGGTGGGTCTCACCGTGTGTTCCTGGAGCCGCAGCAGCCCCCTGGGAACTTGTCCCACATGCAAGTTCTTGAGCTCCGCCCCAGACCTACTGAATCAGAGACTCGGAGCCTTCCAGGTGGTTCTGAGGCCGCTGGAGCGTGAGCACCTGAGGCAGGGGAGGGCGAGCGGGGGCTCCGGAGCTCGCCGGGGGCTCTGCCGTCACCTGCCAGCTGTTGAGAATTTGGGTGAGTTACTGAACCTGTCCGTGCCTCAGTTCCCCCCTCCTGGGCATAACGACGGTGCTTGCGTCACCAGCTTGGTGTGAAGGTTAAGTTCACAAACGGAAAGCACTTAGAACAGTAGCTGGCACGCGGCCTGCAGTGTCATTCTGTAGGATGATGATGGTCATTATTGATCTGGAGCTTTCGGGTTACTTATCTGAGTCTCTATTCTATCCTTTTGTCAGTGCCGTTGTTGTTATTCATTGTCATCTATCCTACTTGGGACCATTCCCACCTGGGACCACTTCTGGCCCCGTTCGGATGATGCTCGTGCTTATTATTTGCATCTGTGTTTCTTCTAGTTGCTCAGTGGCTTTTGGGCCATGTGCAGGCTGGTTTCTCCCTGCCAGGACAGCGTGTTCCAGCTCACTGTAGCTGATTTCTTTGATCAGCCTTTCTTAAAAGGGCCCCTTTCTTGGGTAGAATTTTGTTCCTTCCTGAGGTCGGTGATGGTAACTTGCTTTCCGGTTTTTTTTCAATGCCCATCATTTTATCCCCAGCACAGAGAGTGTAGTTCTCCTTACAGCTAATTGCCTTTTTCAGCATGCTAACTCTTTAGTTGTTTCCAAAACACGTTCTTCTTTCCTTTATCTCCAGAGAACAAATGCTGCAACCACATAAGCCTTAAATGATTTGCACCACGTACATTTTGTTGGCTCGCAGTAACAGGGAGTAGTATTGATCTGTCCACTTAATAATTTCAAGGACTTCAACAACGATATTGCGATTCTAAGAACTGCAATCCTAACCCACATGTTGGAACAATAGAACGCAGGCAGGAGAAATTAATACAAGGCCTAAAGAAAACTATTAAGGGTGTGTATGGGGTTTTGCTTATGTGTGGGATCTGGAGAGGGGAAAACAGCAGAGAATGTCTTGTATCACTCCCCCACACTTAGCTTCGGTAGACTCTGATGTTCCCCTAACACTTTGGAATCAGAGCCAAGGTAGAGTGCAGGCTCGCCACGGGGAAAAAAGGCAGGAACATAAGATTATGTGGATTAAGGGCGTCTATCAACAATGAAACACATGTCATCCAAGAAGTCTGCTGGGGAACGGAGCACTGTTATGTAAGAGGGGGCAAAGCGTGCATGAGAAGGCAGGCGCCGGATAAGGTCGATGCTGTCTCCCGACGGAGCGGTGGCGAAGGCAGAGGCCGTTGGCCAAGCGTACGATCACCCTGGGAGGATCGAGTGCAGGAAAGGCTCTGTAGGTTGGTCACTGGGACTGCTGAACTGATAAACATAATTATCGTCATGATGTACAACTGTCGCTGGATTGGAACAGAAGTGCGAAGTGGACACATGCCCCTTTGGGTCAGACAGACAACAATGTGTGTCGGGGCGTGTGTGTGTGTGTGTGTGTGTCGCTCGGGAAGAAGCAGGGCAGGAGAGCAGGCGGTCCACGACCCTGCCAGCTCCGCACAGAGGCCGTTGGACGTTGGAGGTCGGGGTGGGAGCGCCCCGGCCTGCCTCCCGCAGACTCGGGGCCTCCTGCTTTCTGCCACAAACCGTCCCTGTGACGAACAGAAGTCCTTCCGACCTCCCAGGTCTCAGTCACCGTGTCTGAAAAACGTCTTGTCAGATGCCTCGGCTCTGACAGTCCTTTCAACTCGAACGCTCTGTGACTCAAGAATAATAATGCACTTCCACAGGCGGTAAAAATATTCTAGACTCTTCCCCTCCGATTCTCACTGTTTACTTCCGCTGCACTTCCCCTTCCTGCCTCCTGTTTGCCGGCCAGTGCACCGTGGGCCTCAATGGGGGTGAGTTAACCCTCCTGCCAGCGTGGTTTGAGACTTCACTCCCTCCAGAGGGTGGGGATTCCTCAGCGAGGGCTTCGGTTTAGTCCTTAAAACACTCTTTGAGCCTTCATTCTGGCACCATGCCAGATCACCAGGGCCTGGAAATCAATGCTAAGGCCCTGGGCTTGGGGGGAATTGTTCAGGGTCAGTTGCACTGGACCAGTTGCTTTGTAAACCCCTGTGAACCCCACGTGTCCCTCTCTTGCAGGCGACAGCAGAGTCCCATGGTAGCCAGGTGGCTGAAGGCGAGCCGGGACTGCCTGCCTGCCTTGAAGAGGACAGCTTCTGACCTGCTGAGTAAGTGACCGGGCGGCGAGCTGCGGGCACAGGGTGTCGACAGGGAGGGAGAAGGTGTCACCCGTGGAGTGCTGTCCACCAGCTGCTCTCTTCCACGGAGAGATGCTAAGCCCAAGACCCACCCAGAGGCTCTGGGGCTTCTTCCCACGCTCTGCTCACCAGACTCTGGGGGGAGACACTATCGGTGCGGTCAACTCCAACACCAGCCGTGCAGAAACACAGGGGGAGGCCGGACAGCAGCGCACCCCCAGTGGGCCCGCTGCCCCTCCCAGGGGTAGGTTAGAACAGGAGCCTCAGGGCACTGCCTTCGTGTGAACAGGGCCGACTGTGCAGAGGCTGGTGGCCCGGGGAGCCTAGGGCGGTGCTTGCATCAGTGATGCACAGGACGTCTGTGCATCGCTCCCACTCGAACACTTAAGCCTCTGCTGTTGTTTCGGTGGATTGCACGGCATGCACTTTCCCTGGCAGGTTTTTTTTTTTTAAGTGCATGCAGTTACTTGCCTTTGGCAGCTGGAGTCCTGAGCTTGACTCTGCACGGGGCGTGCCAGTGTGGCGTGGTCTCCAAACCGTCACCCTGGTCCCTCTCCTCCTGGCCACTAACAGGCACTGCTGAGTGTCCGATAAGACCCATGCTCATCGATTATACCCCGTACTTCTCTTTTATTTTTTAATCCTTACCCAAGGATATGTTTATTGATTTTTTGAGAGAGAGAGAGAGACATCAATGTGAGAGAGAAAGATCGATCGGTTGCCTCCCGTATGCTCCCTGACCAGGGATCGAACCTGCAACCTGGGTGTATGCTCTGACTGGGAATCAGACTCACCTTTTGGTGCACAGGCCGGCGCTCCAACCAACTGAGCCAACCAGCCGGGGCCCTGGGCTTTTCTTGTAAATGATCCCAGACTCAGTGGAATAGGCTCCAACAAGAAAAATAAATCCTGAGGACCTTATGGCCTTTCTTCGTAATGAAAATAAAAAAAGTGACTTTCCTTTCCAAGAAAACAAAAAAAAAGATCACTCCAGGGGGCATGCGGTAAGTGGCACCCTCCTGATACTGTAACAGGAAAACTAAGGAGCCCAACAGACACCCTGTGTGCTCAAGTGTTGGCCCGCGAAGGGCACGGTTTCACTTTCCTTGAAGGGGTTTGCCCAGAAGACTGTTTTCCAAGCTCCTAATCGAGGTAACGCCGCTCGGGCAGCAGAGCTTATTGCATGAATCATAGACCGCTGCACACCGGTTCCTTTTTATAAGGGGAAATTAAAAAAATTTTCTAAATGCCAGGGAGGTGGGAACGACAACAACAAAAAAAACCCATGCCAACCAGGTAGAGTTCCCCCTAATCACTCCCATTATCTTTCCGAGGAATGTAGGGGCCATTTATCTCGGTCACCGGGCAGGTGCTATAAGAGGCTGGGTGGCCTCGCTCCCAGCTCACCCCCGTCTGGGAAGCAGCGTGGGAGCCCGGCCCTGGTTCCTGGTAGGTCTGCCCTCCCCGAAGTCCGCCCGTGTTTGCTTGTGCGTTAACTCTTTCGGACGCATTCCTCTGCTGGCCCCACGCAGTTCTCCAGAAGGAAGGCAGGGGGAGTGTGTGCCGTGCCTAAACGCGATGCCTAAATGTCATGCCTAACAGCGTGTGGGGATGGTGCCTCTAAGAATAACCGGCGTATCCATTAAGCCATTGATCAAGCTTAATCATTCACTATGTGTTTGTTGGAGGTTTTTGATAACTTAGTCTTTTCCAATGCAATCAAGACTAGGAGAGATCATGGATTCTAAGTTAGGCATTGGATTCGGGGCAAAATAAAGTGCTGTTATGGGAGAGGTCATGCAGAAGGGTAAGTGTTGAAAAATTTTATTAATACTGTCCAAGTCTACAAAATGTGTGTGAGCAGTCTCCGTTGCTCGTCAGCAGCTACCTTATGGCTATAGCTGCTGGTGTGTGGCTCAGTCAAGCAGGCATCATCTCAGAAAGTGACAGGTCACCAGTCACTTGACTCCCAGTCAGGGCACGTGCCCAGGCGGTGGGTTTGGTCCCCAGTCGTCGTGTGTATGAGCGGTAGCTGATCGATGTTCTTCTCTCACGTCAGTGTTTCTCTCCCTCTCTTTCTCCCTCTCTTTCTTAAAAAAACAAAAACAAAAACTATCTTATGGATGGTACATTTTAGTTGTATCCATACTGCCTGTATGCTCCATCAACTTATTTTTAAATGTTCTGAAACTGGAAACCTGTGGTACCTGAATGTACATAACTATTCACGATACTCTGTGGGGTGGATGCAGGCAAGTGTGATGTCGCCAAGGGAGGATGAGCATCGCTGTTTAACTGCAAGGCTCTGGTTTGGCACTTTATGGCCCTCACCTCCTTTACTACTGCAAAGCCCCCGAGACAGAGGCTTTCTTCTCATTTTACAGATTAGAGACCAGAGAGGTTGAATAGCTTATCCTGGCTCACACAGCAAACACATTGCACAGTCAGCATGGAAGCCAGGTTCGCTTGTCTCCAGGGTCTATGCTCCTCAGTTCCTCAAGTTCAAATCGATCGGTCTTGCCTTTAGAGGTCTCCTTTCCTGTGTGTGTCCACATGCATTCATACTTACGTCACATGGATATCCTAGTTGTATTTTCTGGATGTTCTACCACCTGTCACAGTAATAATATGTCCTTCTTTGTCATTTCCTTAGGTGGTCCCAAGAGCCTGCCGATGGACCCGATGCACCTCAGCATGTCCAGTGCTCCCCTGGTAAAGCACACAGCTGGACCCGGACTCAAGTCCCACAGACCTCGGGTCATGTCCAAGAGCGGACACAGCAACGTGAGAATCGACAAAGTGGACGGCATCTACTTACTCTACCTTCAAGACCTGTGGACGACCGTGATCGACATGAAGTGGAGGTACAAGCTCACCCTGTTTGCTGCCACGTTTGTGATGACCTGGTTCCTTTTTGGAGTGATCTACTATGCCATCGCGTTCATTCACGGGGACTTAGAGGCGAGTGAGCCCGTGGCAAACCGCACTCCCTGCATCATGAAGGTGGACTCGCTCACGGGGGCATTTCTCTTCTCCCTGGAGTCCCAGACAACCATAGGCTATGGCGTCCGCTCTATCACGGAGGAATGCCCTCATGCCATTTTCCTGCTGGTGGCTCAGCTGGTCATCACGACCTTGATAGAGATCTTCATCACAGGCACCTTCCTGGCCAAAATCGCCAGACCCAAGAAGCGGGCCGAGACCATCAAGTTCAGCCACTGCGCTGTCATCACCAAGCAGAATGGGAAGCTGTGCTTGGTGATCCAGGTGGCCAACATGCGGAAGAGCCTCCTCATTCAATGCCAGCTCTCTGGCAAGCTCCTGCAGACTCACGTCACCAAGGAGGGGGAGCGGATCCTCCTCAACCAGGCCACCGTCAAGTTCCACGTGGACTCCTCTTCAGAGAGCCCCTTCCTCATTCTGCCCTTGACATTCTACCACGTGCTGGACGAGACCAGCCCCCTGAGAGATCTCACACCCCAGAACCTGAAGGAGAAGGACTTTGAGCTCGTGGTGCTCCTCAACGCCACCGTGGAGTCCACCAGCGCCGTCTGCCAGAGCCGCACGTCCTACGTCCCCGAGGAGATCTACTGGGGCTTCGAGTTCGTGCCCGTGGTCTCTCTGTCCAAAAACGGGAAGTACGTGGCCGACTTCAGTCAGTTCGAGCAGATCCGGAGGAGCGCCGATTGCACGTTCTACTGCGCAGACTCCGAGAAGCAGAAGCTGGAGGAGAAGTACAGGCAGGAGGATCAGCGGGAAAGAGAACTGAGAACGCTTTTGCTGCAACAGAGCAATGTCTAAGGGTGGGGCCACGGCCTCGGTTTCACTCCGCCGCGGGCTCCACACCCGAGCTCCCTTCCGACAAAAAAAACACATGGGTGCACTCTAAAAAAACCCAACCGTGCAGACGTGCAAAATCTCTCTTTTCCTTTGATCTGGTGGCTAAACGAGAGTCTGCACCTTTCAGAGGGTTCCTTGTTTAAATGCTTGGTCTGAAACGAACTCCCAAAATTCCAATTTTCTAAAATGGGGCTACATTTCGAGGACCTTGGTGTATGGCAATTGCAAAATGGCCCTGCTGGGTGGCCAGAGACATTCAGCAGTGCTGATCGTGAGTGGCAATGCTTTTCTGCATGAGGATAGCAGCTGTAATATAAGGTATTTATTCAACCCAACTGTCAAAGACATTATGGCCGAGACTTGAAATGGGGTTCACTATTCACTTATATCATTGCTTTAAAACACTCTTTTTTTTCTCTCTCAGGCAGAGAAAATGTTATATATACTGGAGGCTGTCTGGTAATAGAGAAAATGGAGCAGGGGGATTCTGTACTCACGAAATATAACAATGCCATTGTTACCTTTTTTCCAGTGGGTTTAATTGTATAGCGTGAAATCGATCAACCAGGAGTGGAGGGGCGTGGAGGCAGATGCAAATGGACCGGAGGCTATTGGCTCACTCGTTTTCTGTTGGAACACGCCCCTTCTGTCCAAAATGCGGATCCCAGACCAGCAGCATCAAGCCTCATCTGGGGGCTTATTAGTAACATAGATGCCCAGGCCCCACCCAACTTAGAGAATCAGAGTTCGTATCTTAATAAGACCCCCAAGTGACTTGTGCACCAATGAGTTTGGGAAGCCCCTCTCTGGGCAGTGTGTTCAAGGAACCTTCTGAATCGGTGGGACTCTGTGTGTCCCAGGTCCACGTGGCCCCCAGACCTACCCTTCCTTCGGTTCATTCTTAGGGACCACACTTCCTTTCAGCCACTTCTTTTCTTATCTGTTAAAATGCCTTGTCCCCAGAGGAAGTGCCACTGACATTCTGGGAGCAAAATAAAACTCTTGCAAGTAACGGCTGTCTCATCCATGCTAAGTATTGTACATGGTTGTGGAGAGTAGTGAGAACAAAAGAAAAATTAAGCTGGGTAAGGGCCAGAAATTTGCTCAAGGGTTGAAATCTAGAAAGTTGAATGGTCCCGTAAGAATAGGAGTGGCAGGGATAATTCATACACAGATGGGTCCGGGAAGCATGGACAAAACCTGACCGTCGGATAACACATCAAGGATGTCCTCAGGATCTAAACAAATCTTGTGCAACTCAGTGTTATGGAGTAACACTTTGCCTTTGGCAGAATTTAAGGACCAGGCACCCTGCCTTTCTTTGGTGCAGAGGATAAATGGGCTAGGATTGGCTAAATGTACAAAAGGTGAATTCTCATTTCATTCAAAATGGGATGGATTTGTGTGTTCACTCAAGAAGCATGGGGCTGTGTGTAGGTGCTACATGGACATACATGTGAGCCCACATGTGTACACACAGGCATGCACACACACACAGGGACTCACACACGGGCTCTTGAAGCACAACTGTGGAAATTCTGGGACTCCTCTAGGCTTGGGGACACCGAGACTCAGAGGACACAGGGAGGCAGTCTGGGTTCAGACGGTCGGTGACCGATGATGTGGACGCCAACGAGTCTGGCCGTCTCTTGGTGCTGCCTCCTTTTCAAAGGTCCTGCATCAAACCGACAAACAGAAAATGTGGCCAACGCCTCTGAGATGGACTGCCCATCGCACGGAGGGGTCTGCAGCTGGAAAGGCTTAGAGAGCGTTTTCAATGCACTAGAGGTTTTGGCCTTTAACTATTCAGGAAGTTCTTTTCTTTTCCTGCTGATAATTTCCTGGCAGGTTGTTTTAGATCTTCAAAAATTACGCAGAGTTAGGCATTACCCCTTGTAGTTGTTCTCCGTGATTTTCGATTGCATATCGTGGTATAATCAACAGAAGAAGAGCGTCATGGGCGCGCTCACCGATTTCCTGTCGCACTGTCCAGTTCTTCTCACGGTACTGCCATCAATGTTCATTTGAATGTGACCAAGATTAGGAATTTTACGTGCTTCTGTTGCATCTAGTACCATGACGTGGCACGAAACGGAGAAATCTTTTTTATGTTCACTTAGCGTATCTATTTCAGCCAAATTTGGAAGGCTTGAGCACCTGGATCTTTTGCACGACACAAAATAAACACAAAATAACACAAACAAACAAAAGAACACACAAAATAAATATGCTGTGTCTTCAAAGCCAGTACCCATGTAAGTCAATACATCATATAGTGTAATTTTTAATACACGACGCTCAAGTCATGGCTGGTTGGACACTTGGCCTTTCCCAGGCACTCTCATTTAGTGTTACTTTGTACAAAATACTCGCACGTCTACATGCTAACGAAGGACTCAGGCGGCAAAGTGGTTCTATCTGGACACGGTCTTCTGGCGAAAACAGATTCCTGCTCCGCCCTCAATGGAGAAGAAAGTCATTCTCATGGAGCACTTTTGGCCCCCCAAAAGCTTGTGCATTTTGAAGCATTTCCCGTGCACCAGGCCTTGTCAGAGAGATCCTTCAAAAATGCCGTGTTCCATTTGAGAAACAACAAAGCCATGTCTTTCTTGTTTCAGTAATAAAATGTATTGTACTTACGTGGTCCATAGTAGCCAATGCCCCGGAAGCATTTCACTAACTACACGTAGTAGCAGAGGTTTCCTCACTGATCCTTGCAGAGAGCCACCTTTTTGGGGAGCGATACATACACCGGCCCCCTTTCCCATTCATGGGGCTATTGCAGCACAGAGAAGCGACTCCAGAAATTAAAATTAACTGGTTAGAAGGGAAAAATGCCAGGAATGAGTGGATTGTAGATTTAAATGAATTTAAACAAGTCTTTGGATTTAATTTTCAGTTTTCATTGACTGTGAATTCGATACCATTGAAATGTAAATTAAGGTACATAAACCTGTATAAACACTTCTACTACAACACTATTCTTTCTCCCTGGCTTAGATCCTTAGCACTGACATGTCATCTGGGGAAAGAAGAGAAAAGTGGAGTGAAGAAGGCACAAGGCCTTTGCACTGGTGGCTCAGTGAAGTGCCACCCTTGCCCTCGGGCTTGGTTCTGCGTGCTGTCCCTGTGGCCTACAGGTCAGGCACTTGACCTGTGGTGTCGGGAAGACTTCCAGCCTCTTAGTCTTGGCTTTGTTCTTGCTAGACTTTCCTTTGCCTCTTAAACATTTCCAATACCTTGTTTTGAATTCAAGTTATCTTATCATGGCTTGGTGGGATGGTATTTTTTTGTAACAAAAAGTATTAGCATTTCAAGCATTGACTTCCAACCGTGCACTCAAAATCCAGCTTTTGGCCCTGGATGGGTCCATGGTGCTCTGAGTCTTCTTCCCACCCGAGAAGAAGATCTACACTTGAAGGTCCAAAGCTTAACATTTCACATCCAATGGATTAACCACGTACATTTTGCCCTTTGTGAATCTGTTTATCTTTAATCACAGTGACCTGCCAACCCGCCAAACCTGGGGTCCCGGGACCCCAGTGAGTGGGAGGCGTCCGCTGTCAGACTCCAGTGTCTGAGAGCAGCGTTAAGAGTTTCCAGAGTCAGAATGTGCGCTGGAATGATGCGATTAGAGCTAAACTGGGACTTGAAAGAATGAGTTATCTTCTAGAGGCATTCGTGTTTGTCAGTAAACTGTTTGTATTGTTGTTATGTGGGTTTAATTTTTGTTTAAGAATTTAAAACAAAATCTTTGTCTTCAGACTAAGGAAGGTAAAAATGTTCAGCCAACTAGCTTGTACATCAATTCACGTCTCCTGGTGAAGAACTTCTTTGCAGGGAAAAACTGGCCATTCCATCTTACATGACGACAGGCAGTGTCGCTCTAGCCCCCTGGTGCCCCAGGAGAGCCCATTTTCCCAGTCTCTAAGAAACATTGATGATTTCAGTCCCATTCCCCCCTCAGAATTACTTCTGCAAAATGCTCCATGAAAAAGAAACATGGGGAAGACCTAAAACTTCAGCCCTCCCCGCCATTCTCATCCCCTCTCGGCTCTCCTGGGGGACTCGGCTCCCCCTCAGCTTGGAACGCGCGTGGCCGGCTGGTTTTCACCCCGGCTACCCGCTCCAGCAGGTCCGGTAACTCTGTGGGTTGAAAATCCTCAGTTCAAATTAGCAATGTGTACACGTGCAGATAGACAATCTGAAATTGGGGCAGGAGTTTCTATTTTTCCATTAGTATGCTGCTGGCGTGTAAAAATAGAAGATGGAGAAAAGGCTCTTGATTTGAGTTGATAGTTAATTCCTAATAAAACTACGGGAGTTGTCTGTGTAAGTTAAGCACGTCATTGCTGCGTGTGTATAAAAGCCAAAGTTGCCGTGTGCGTGTGTAGAGACCCCGTGACCCTGAATAGGACCCCAGAATGAGGAACCCCAGCCATGCCGGGCGTGTAGCACCTGTCCTGTGCTCAGTGACTTGTGTCCTGAATTCTGTATGGATTTCATGATGACGCTCTAAATGTCATTCTTGTCAATAAATAACAAAATGGCATAGGCAGTTAGAAAAACACATCTTTCCAATTGCACTGGTCTTGAATGTTCATTTGCTAGCTCAGCCAGCCTTACAGAAAATTACTCACAGGAGAGCCTAACGTAAATATCCCTTCCTTTGGAAGTGACGGTTTTCATGTTCCTCGTAGTGGAGAAAGGGGTCATCCAAGAGGATATTTTCTTGACTTGCTGCATTAGTACCAGTACATTGCAGGCAAACACAGGGGGCCTTTGACACACTCTGTGCAGCGTGGAGCAGGGTGCCATCCGTGGGGGCCCGTCCCCCCAGGAGAGACCCCAAGTGCCGGGCTCAGAGCCCCTGTGCACGGTGCGTGGGAGCCCTTGTTCCCGGCCCCGGACCTCGCCAGATAATCAGGCCGAGGGTTCTGTGTTCCCGGCTGACGCTGGATGGGCAAAGCCAGTGAGGAAGGGGTCAGTCTAAAAAGCCTATCAGCGAACTTCTTGAGTAGCAGCTCCCTCCTCATGACATAGCACTTAGCCGTGGTCTTTATTTGAGGCCAAATCCCATCTAGTATCCAAACCTTCCCACCCCCTTAAGAGAGCCAAAAGTATTCAAGTCAGTGGCAGAACTTGCTCAAAATTAGACTCTAAGTTAGCCACTCCGATTGATTATAGTATAGCTATTTCTTGAAAGGAAAGGAAAGGAAAAGGAAAGGAAAAAGGAAAGGAAAGAAAAGGAAAAAGAAAAGAAAGAGAAGCAAAAAGAAAAAAAAAGAAAAAGAAAAATAAAGAAAGAGAAAAAGTCAGAAGTTGTTGACTCTGAGCGAAGAAATGTGATCTCTCAGCTTATTATTACTACTATTGTTACTGGTGCAGATGTCCTTAATATTATTTAAAAAGGGTTTCCAAGAAGATGAATGGAAGGGGGGTTCAAAGAAACGCGGTGTTTTCTTTTTCATCTCCGTGATTTAACTACATTTTTTTTTCCATCGGCAATCAAATCTTAAGAGTGAGGATGTTGTATTAAAACAAATCATCGCAGGAAGTATGACTGTGTCAGGGGCTTTTTACAAAAACAAACTTCCAGATCGCAAGAGGAAGCTGGTGTGTGTGCTGACGGGCATTAAACAGCAGTTGGGAGAGGAAGGCAGGACACCAGCCAACTTGGATCTATTTTTGAAGAATTATTTCTGTGCGGTGTCATGGAATTGTAAGTTGCAAAGCGGCTGCTTTGGTAAACAGACTTCTCGAATCCAAAGGGACCCACTCCAAAACACCACTTAATGAAATGCAAGGGAAGGTTAAGAAGTCTAAAATCCCCAATCACATGCAGATTTTACAAGCAAACAGTCCCACTCCTTGTAAATCCCAGCGGCGTGCCCTTGCCAGCGCCTGGGTGGTGCCTCGGTCTCCTGCCCTGTGTCCCTCCGCGTCTGATCGCTGTACTGTGACACTGATGCGCGTCCTGTACCCGACTGTGCCCTGGCAGAACAGTGGGTTGTGTTTCTCAAGGCCGAGCTACTGTTTGGTGCGTGCTGGAAATCTCACACTAACTGGCGTGTATGCTCTGTGGCCGGTGAGCCCAGCTGACGCGGGATCAGCTTTAATGATGTCCTTTCGTGTTTTACAGATTCATACCTCTGTGTGTTACACCATGTCACTTTGCATATGCAACTGCATCACCTTTCTGATTTTACACGTGGAATCACTCTAATCCGTGAAACAATGGAAATGCAAACACAATAAAGCCAATTCCACAGTCACCAGTCTCTGTTTCCTTCACTGGGGCGGGCAAGGTGCTGTGCGGGAGCCTGAGGAGAGGAAGCCGGCACTTCCTTAGAGAGCTCAGAGATAAACTCATTCCGGAGGGCGGTTTGCAGCGAGGCCAGCCGCCCTCTCTGGGGACGGCCGGGCCCCAGAGCTTAGGAGGTTCGTTTCTGTCAGTGCCCGCAGGACTGCACTTTTGCTTCCCTTCTAATCAAAGAAAAGAAATAAAATCCCTGCCTCAATCTTGAGCTGTACTGATCATTTCACTTTAGTCAATGATTAGAGACCCAGTAATTATTTAACAGCAATCTTTCAGCACCTCACAGCCTACCAGAGTCCCTGTCACACTGTTGCTCTTTTACTCGGATGGATTGAAAGACAGAAAACCCATAATTATATAAGTCTTAAAGACACCCGTGTGAGTGTGACTAACACGATACAGCCATCTGAAATCCGCACAGCAGATATGCACCCAGGACAGCCGTTGTCCTTGACACACTTTTCTAGGGAAGCCACATGTGCACACGTGGCTGCCATAGCTCCAAACTTTCTTCCAGCATCCCTTTGGGAACCTGCTCTTTGGAACCCTGGCTCATTGATTGCAACATCTTGGTGGCAAGACTGTGAGCGAGAATGTGACAGTTGGAAATAAAAAATCCTGGTCGTATAGTAGGAAGTCACATTTGAGGATGTTGTTTGGGGGAAAAAAAAGTTTTCCAAAATGTTTTCCAGAAAGTGCACAGTGATGAGGCTCATCAGTAAGACGTACTTTATTAATTGTAATTTGCACGAAATTTCTCTGAGACGTATTATTGTCTATTCTATTATCTCAAGCATCTGCTTACCTTTAAGGGGTGACCTTAGCTGAGAACTGAGCTAGCCACTTCCAAGACATGAGACAGCTTTGCGTTCACCACACCGTGGCCTTGGGGCCGTGAATACATGGGAATTTGTCGCAGCAGAATTTGGGTCTGGGCTGGGGACCCAGCATCCTAGCAGACCACAATCCTCTCCTCAGGAATGCTGGACTTCGAGTACCTGTCTTCAAAAATATCAAACCAACCATTTCAACGATTAAATTGAGTTCCCCCCAGGTTTCCTACCCCTTTATTTGAATATAGACACGTGTAGAAACTGTCAGGACCCCTATTTTACAGACGGGAAGACTGCGGTCCAGAGAAGTTAAGTGACAGAGCTAACAAGTGACAGAGTCGGGCGTAAAACCCGGGACTGAATGAAGTAAAAGTCCATCTTTTCCTGCAAGCTCCACCTGGCCTCCCGGTGGGCATCCCACGAGGCCCCCACAGGAGCCTAGGAGGGTAGTAGTTGATGTTCCTGGAGTAAATGCGCATTTGCTTGGCCCTCCAGTGTTTTTATCAACAGAAAACCAAACCTCGGCGGAGTTGCCATGTGGCCACAGACGTGACTCCCGGATGCGGACTGAATGCTCCAGTCCGGCGATGCATGCGGTGGGGCTTTGCTACGGAGGACGGAGCCGGGCCTTCCCATGTGAATGCCTGGCTGAGCTCTGGACCCCTGGTTTGTACCGATTGCTACCGGGCTCTTCAGTGAAACTCTAAGTTAGATAATCATTTTAAGGTCTTGGCTGATGGAGCCCGGAGACTAAGGGAGCTTTATAGAGATAAGCAGACACTCCGGAGTCAGCAGAGCTGCCTGGGATCCTACACTGAGCATCAGGGGCCCGCAGGGACATGGGAGTGGCCCCCGCACACTCAGTCCCAGCTGTGAGGATGGCCAGGGTCAGGGCGGGAATGGACAGGTCCCAGACACCAAGCAAAGCTTGAAACCACCAGGCAGTGGCCGAGGGAGGCCTCAGAAGCTGACTGCGGAGGGAGGTTCCGATGACGATGGGTCTCATGCTGGGAAAGACTGGTCTGCAAATCTCTCCCGGGCAGGGGCAGGTGGGTGGAGGGAGAGGAACCTGGGAGGAAGCTCAGTGAGGATGCACACCAAGGACCAGACCCAGGGAGTGAAGGTTCAGGAGGGGGACCCAGCCCCTGGGCCCCACCTCAAGGCAGGACCACCTCCTGGGAGGGGGCCATGGACAGGGAAAGCTGGGCAGGCCTTATTTCAGGGACACAACCTAAGGCTGGAACAGGAGCATAAGGACACCGGCCAAGACAGGAGTGGAACTGGGTAAGAGACTGGGCTTCCTCATTGGAAAGAGAGGTTTGACCAGAGCAGGACAAGAGCGAGGGGGACTCGGTGAGGGAGCGGCGTCCTCATGTCCCCTGAGCAGGAGCTGGAGCGGAAGCCACCGCACGTGGGTCAGCCTGTGCCCCCGAAGGTGAAGGGGAGAGGCTGGGAGGCACGCACACCCGGACGGCCGAGGCGTGTGGTTCTTTGTCCAGGGAAGTGGCTCCTTGGGTCACGTAATGTTTACTCAGCCAAAGCAGACTCCTGCACGATCACCTGATCACCGCACCAGGTCCTTAGAGCGCTGTGGTTTCCACATTAATATTGACTTGGCGACCTTCCCTGTACGAAGAAGATAAACTCAGATTCCTGAAGGAGCCGAGAGAGTGGCGTCTTTTGCCAGCACCGCCGTGACAAATGACTGCAAGTGGTAGTGTAGGAGGACAGAAATGCGTTGTCCCACAGTTCTGGAGGCCTGAAGTCTCACGTCAGGTGTCCCTGAAACCCGTGGGGGAGGGTCCTCCCTGCCTCTTCCAGGATCTGGTGGCCCCTGACATTCCTTGGCGTGTGGCTCTGTCTCTGATCTCTGCCTCTGTCTCCCCGTGGTGGCTCTCTCTCCATCTCATCACCAGTCTTCCCTCTGTGTCTGTCTCCCTGTCCAAATTCCCCACTTTTATAAGGTCACCAGTCATCCTGGGTTAGGAGCCCCTTCATGGGTTCACTTGAATTTGTTTACTTTCGTCGAGACCTTATTTCCAAGCCAGGCCACATTCAGAGGTGCTGGCGGTTGGGAGTTCCACACCCCTGCTTGAAGGGACACAGTTCAAGGGACAATACTTTTCTTCTCTCTCCATGTCATCGCAGACGGTTAACGCTCAACCCTCTGCCTAGTCTTCTTCTCGGAAGAGGTAAGGGCTCCTCCTGCCCCAGTTCTGGTCATTGTCACAGATTCCCCAGTCCTGCAGGACACACGCACAAAGCCACCCTCTAGCAGGTGTCCTCGCCTGCTTTGACCACAGCTGCCCAGAAGCTGTGCCGTGGACACACTTCCACACTCTCCTGAGAGGGTGCCGGGTTCTCGGGGCAGGGACCAAGGAGTTTTCTCCCTCGGAAATCGTCCCCACTGTTTTGTACACAGGGGGACTTTCGAACCCCAGTTCTCCAGTGGCGGGACACCAGTGTGAGCCTCTGCAGGGGAATCAGGAGCTGGGCTTCAGCTCCCGGCTTCTACCACCGAGAGCCAGAGCTCGCGGATTTCCCAAGACTCGAAAGCACCTGATGTTTAGATACACTTCATAATGCTGTGTCTGTCACCACTTGGCATGCGGGTCTCCCACTGCAAGGGCTGGAAGGAACCCCCTCTTCAGCGAAGGCAGGCACACCGACGTGTCTCTGCAGCCATCACCAGGCCACCAGCTGATGTCACCTGGCGGGTCCTCGCACTGACTCCACTTTGTTGAACCAGGTAGCACCGTGTCATTCCAAGAACGATACTCCCATACATTGCCTTCTTCCCCAAACTGTCTCCCCCTCCACTGCCGCAAACCCGAGAACCCCCCTTGTCTCGCCCGCTCCCTCACCACAAGCACCCGCCCCAGCCCCCCGTGCACAGCACCCCCGAAACGGCTCTCACGCCCGTTTTTTCTCTTCCCTCCCAGTGGCTGCGCTCCTGGCACAGGCCACCACCGTCTCCCATCTGGTTTTTCTGAGTTTAACACAGGCGGCACCGCCTCTAGTCTTTCTCCCTCTGCACCCGCCTGCCCCCTACGGTACACAGAGGGGCCATTCTAAAACGGGTCACATGGAAACCAGATCATACTGCTCCCTTTCCCAAAAGCCGATTGATTCCTTGCATTTTGCCCGAGCATGGGCCGCATGGCTCCTCTCGATCTGGCTCTTGAAAACCTCCTCCCCTGTCATCCCTGGCCCTTGCGGTCTGTCTGCAACCATCCTGCCCTATTCGCGTGACCCTGAAGGCCGCCTCCTCTCTCCAGCCTCTGGGCCTTGGTTCTGCTTCTCCCTCTGTCTGGGAAGTCCCCGGCCGGCCAGCCCCTGCGGGGTCTGCTGGCTACCTGGGACGAAGGGCTTTCCCAAACACGCCTGAAGTCTCCCCAGGAAACTCCTGGGCGCTTTCTAGACTCCCGGCGTGCACAGTGCTGCCCTCCCGGAGGGTTCTCCCGATAGTGTTACCGGGCTCACCAAGCCTCTGGATAACACCCCCCAGCTGCCCAGCTGCGGGTCCAGGGCCAGGCCTGCCACAGGGCTGTTTGGGGCCCAGGCTCATGGAGCCAGGTGCCCGAGTCAGAGAAGGTGAGACAATGAGACCCTTGTGCCTCAAGTGCAGTAAGGGGTGCTAAAAATAAGGAATAGAGACAATATTTTGAAACAATATTTTAAAATCAAAATTAATGCCAAAAAAATAATCCATGATAGACAAACTAGCAAAACTTTAAATAAAGAGAGGATCAACCAGAATGTTCGGAGGAAAAATGATGGTTTCACGTGTTTATGTTAGAGAAGAAGAAAGGTCTACAATCAGCGATTTAAACTCCAGCTTCAGAAGGTTAGAAAAATAAAAGTAGATTGAAACCAAAATAAATGGAAGGAAGGGAATACTAAAACAAGACAAAAATCAATGAAGTAGAAAAAATACACACACAATCGTGGTAGAAAACTTTCTTTACTGAGGAGAGCAGTCTGTACTGGAAAAAATACATGAAATCAACCACCCAAGGGCCCTGTAGTGAGAAGAAAGGCAAGCAGACTTCTGAGTGAGTTGACTCTCACAGGCATGGGGAAGGCCCGTCTTGTCAGCCTTGCCCTAAGGACAATGGCGGCT